TCTTTCGATATATTCCTTTCTTTCTTTTCGAAATTAATCGACTTCAATTTGAAAGCTTGGTTTCGTAGATCTTGTTTTCCTGAAAATCAGTCAACTCCAACGTAGATCAAATCCAATGCGTAGATTTTGTTTCGTGCATCTTTTTTTTAAAATTAATCGACTTGAATGTGTACTCGCGCAAATCAAACCCAATAGCTTCTTTTCTTAAAAATCAATCATGCTTTAATGCAAACTCTACTATAAATCAAATCCAATGGAGATTTCATTTCATTCGATCTTCTTTTCTCACAAATCGATCAACTTTAATACTGCAAATCAACTTCCTCTTGCTTTCACACATTCTTCCATCTTTTTTTCTTTTCTTTAAAATTAATCGATTTCAACGCCCACTCAACTGTAACTCAAATCCAATGGAGATTTCATTCAATGATCTCCTTCCCTCAAAAATCGATCAACATTAACACCGATGAACCAATGCAGAAACCTCTCGTTTCGATCGATTCATCCGTTCATTCCTTTCCTTCGAAAACCATTCAACCTCGGTGCCCGTAAAATTCATTCTATCCACGTTAAGACTCCTTCTTAAATCAATCAAATTGCAATCGAATGGTATCCAACCCCACGGCTAATCGCGGATTTATTTATTCTCGAGCAAGGGTGGTGAATCCTGGTTGGGTTTTCATCGTCATTTATCGGGAGGCAGGATCAACGAGACGGAGTTGGATTACGAGCAATACACGAGAGACCAGGCTTTTCAGCCTCCATTGTTGTATTACGTCGGCAAGGCTTGACGAGGCAAGCGAAACGGGGGAGATCCTCGAGTGCCACTTTATCTATTTGCATGTTCAATTTCGTTCTTTGACGCGACAGACGCGACGGAATGGCCATTGTTCTCGAGAACGTGACGATTCGATCGTCCACGTAAACGTACTCATATCATGACGATGATCGTGAGGGGCTTGCTTCTTTTCGAGAAGATCGAGGAAAATCGAATTAATTAATTTTAACCGTTTGCACTCGGATTTATATTTAAAAGAAGGTAACGAGTCGATTGAATGCAATTGTATCGCACGTATGCTAATGTAAATTTATTGAATGTATGTATATAATGATAAAATGATAAAAAGGCGAGTGCAAAGGGTTAATATTACTGTCGTAGGTAATTCGACGCAACGATATAACAATTATTTAATTTATCGAGCGAACCGTCGAGTTTTCATTCGAAAAATAAAACAGAGGCGTGTAATTTACGACGAATGAATTAATAATAACGGACAATTGAATACGGTGCGGGAAATTTCGCATTAAATTTGCCACGGAAATTTCGCGTTCATCGACGTCCGGTTTTAAAATCCGAGACTGTTGCCTTTGTTGTTTATTCATTATCGCGAAGTAGTTCCCACTTAACTGCGCTCGCTCGAATATCATCAAGCAATTCAAAAGTAATCGAGCGTGGCGTTGGAAGTGCGCTCGACGTGAAATGAAAAGATTTCTGAAATAGCTCAAGTAGAAATCTGCAAAAATCTGTTATTAATTAAATTCGAATAAATATATTTCTCCTTTATCCTCGAGAGAATCTTGTTGCCAAAAATTTCGTAGCGAAACAAAACGAACCCATCCCACAACGATCCAATTATTCCGCTTATTCCGCTAATCGATATCGGCGATAGACGAGAATCCGCCGCTCCTCCTCGACCCCGTTATTTCAACCAAATCGGCCCCCTCCTTCGAGCGTCTTCGATCTTCGAGAGGAGGGAGGGGGAAACCGACGCGACAGTGTCACGATGCTTAAATATCGAGGGGGAATCTGGGTCAGTGCTTATCGTCGCGCCAACCCTCGAAATAACGGGCTGCCACACCCCTTTCGCCGGAACATCCCCCGGCTAAAGCTCCCTGGGGGGGGGAGGAGGAGGACTCGTCATCATCGATAAACCGTGATCGAGCCACCGACCGCAAATCATTTCGGCCCCATTTCATTCACCGATCACGCGCCTGATCGTTGCCATGGCGATGTACGTACGTAACGTGGCTTGCCTCTCGAAACCGAGCTCGAAAAAAAGACTCGTAAAACGCGCACAAACACGTGCGCACACACGAAAACGCCGGTGTCGAGTTTCGAAAGCCAGTTCCACGAAGAAGTTTTTTTTTTTCCCTTTGTTTTCTTTTTTTATTTGTTTCAAGATAAGCTCTCGTGACCTTCGAACGAGAAGAGAAAATGTTGTAAATAATAAGTCGAATTAATATGAAAAATTGAACGAACTCCTCCTGTTGGCGTTGCTATTCCCTTGTTTCGTTTTCTACTTTATCTTTTTCTTTCGTGGCAAGAGCGAGAAACATTCTTCTCGTGCAGGAACGAGCACGGAGGGAGGACAGGGCGCAGTTGTCACGCGGTTCGTTCGTAAACCGTGTATAGAAGAGGAAAAAGTGTAGCACGCTTAGTGTACAACGCAAGGGTCGAAGAGGGTCTATTATTGTAAAGCAGCGGACGATGAGGGCAGAAATTGCGCTCCAGAGAGATGCGTCCCTCTCTACCCACCCACCTCCCCGTCCCTCTCATTTCACCCTCTCTTTCACTCGCGTTTTATCGACAAAATTGCATTTTCTTCCCTTGGTTCAGCATCGCTGCCCGCCCGACACGACGTGCGCCAACACGGACTCTACGGCACGTTTCTACGTAAATCGATCGATTTTCGAGGATCAAAGAATTTCCAACTTGTTCGTTGAACCTTATCCTTTCGATATTTTTCCAAATTTCAACCGTGTATTGGATTTTTTCACTCCATCGAAAATGTTCTATGGAACATCCTGTAGCTTACTTTCACTGCGCACTCGCAGCTTCGAATTGTTATCGGAAGAATAATTCGAATCAACGGTATTTTAATTCATATATTAAAATTTAAATTTATTAAAAAAACATTTAAATTGCTAAGTTTTTTTTTTTTGTAAATTAAATTCAAAGTTAAGTAATTGCCTCGCATTAGAAATTCACACGATGCGATGATTCTTTTTTTACATTAATTTTAAGCTATCTAATATATATATATACGTTTCTATCTATCGTTTATTTATTATATTTTAAATAAGCAATAATAATATTCCTTATAATACGTCTTCTTACACTGCTTTTGTCATTTTATAATTTTCAATTCGTTTAGACCCATATCTGATTCATATCTATCGAATAATTTATATAACAAGATTGTCGAGGATATCCTTTCCTTGAGAATACCATTTCTCAAGACCCAGTTTATTACGTGTTTGTCAAATTCCAAGTTAAGCTTGCCTCCTACAACTTTTTCGTTACACGCAGATATTTTTCGCGGTTACTCAACAGTCCAAATATTTGTATATTTATTTTTATCGATTATCACGTACTTTCCTTTTCATTCTTCAATGTTAATTTTTTTTACGTTGTAACTTTAACGAAACAAAAAGCGGTATTGTTTTCTAAAAATTCAAAGCAGAAGAAAGAATAATTCTTACATAGAATAATAAGCTTGAGTTTTCTCAACAACGAATTGTGTCACTCCTGTCACGCTATAAATTGTGATCGATATAACAGGAGCGTTGCAAGTTCTCGCGGAGGAATCGTTGCGAAGTTCCGGAATTACGAAAATTGGAAAAATTCTGGAAGGAAAGAGATTAATTGAATTCCTCTCTTTAAAATTGGTCAACATTTATACACGCAAAAAGGAGAAATTAGATAGAATCGCGTGGAATTCGAATTAGGATTAAATATATTCGATTGGATCCATTAATGGAAATCGCTCGAGCGTATTGGTTCGCAGTTAAAAAAAAAGTAGATAAGAGGTTGTCGAATAAAAATCGGTGGCCTGGAATTTTCTACAGAGGCGATAAAAATCGATCGAGTGAAAAAACGTCGGAATTTATCCGTTAAGCTTAAATTTTTACAGGCCGGCGATCCATAAAGGCGGAGTTCGTAAAATTGTCGGCATTAATCTGCCTGTAAACCGTGCCCGCGGTGAAATCGTTTTAAATGCGCGCAGCCAGAACGAGAACGTTAATTGAAACGTCAAGTAATATACAATTAAAAACTAGGTTCGAACAACGATTTTGCCAATATTTTCGATGAGGTCATCTTCTTATTTCTTACTTCCAAACGTGGAGGGAAGGAACGACGTGCGTGGAAGAAAGTTAGATCGCAGGGAAAATTTTTAAAAGAGTTTTTAAATTTAAGTAAGAACAAAAAAGAGAGGTGCTCTTCTTTATTTTTTCTTCGAAGAAGAGTCTTCGTTGAGTTTCGCGGGGAAACTCAATTGAACGGAGTTTATTGCAATTAAGCTCTGGATAGAGGGGGAGGAGAAAAAGTTGAAGAAACGGCCCTACTTTGAAAATCGAGGGGGAAGGGAGAGGCAGCGGCTGGATTGGCATTCGATAAATTCATTAGCCCTCCAGATTTCTGTCGTTTAAATCGACGAAAATAATCCGCCCTCCTTCGCGACCAATTTCGCTCTCAAACTTCTCCAAGACAATTTTTCTCCACGATCTTCTTCCTTCCCACAGTCATCCGCGATTAATTCTCTCGAGAGAGATTCAAGTTTCTGTTGTTCAACAAATATATTGAATGGAATTTTATATCGTGATGTTGTAACAACGAATCTTTCTTGAATTATCGACATTGACAATGGAATTCGTTCAATGTAATTTATATAAAAATTTATGATTAACAATTTACGACGCTAGGATGAATCATTGATAAACTTCTGATTCGATTTAGCATTCATCAGCATGATACGCACGGCTCATTGATTAATTAAATGGTTTAATGGACCGGATCGGAGGATGCATAGAATTTTCCTGGCATCAGCAATCTCGTGATATTAATATTATCGATAACAATTCCTTAAAAAAAAAAAGTTTTCAATATTCCATTCTCATAATGATCGAGAAGAGGAAATTTAAAGAAGACGATAAATAAACGAATGTGTTTTGATAGCTTTTACTTACACGTGATGATTTTCGAACGTTTCGTTAAAATAAATGATTTTTGCGCAGGTGGTGACGCCACAGAAATGCGGCGACGTGTACCTTTACGATCTTCCAGCGAGCCGAGGAAGTCCAGCTCCACCCTCCAGACACGATTCACCCTTGAACTCGAATAACGAGCATTTACACAACTCAGGTGCGTAGCAACCCCCCGTTTTCTTCCGTCTAACCACATTCCTCAACCTCTCTGGTTGGAAATAGGGAGACAGCGTGGAAACGTGTTTCTAAAACAAGATATTCCTTGCAATACGCAATTCTTTAAGAATTTAATAACACTTTATAACCAGATCAGATATATACTTTTTTAATATCACATTTAAACGAAATAAAATAAAATTGCAAGCTTGGTAAAATGTGTTCATAAATATATTCGATATCTTTGATGTTTTCATCTGTGTCCACCCTCTTCTCACGCAGAATCTCGCCTCTATGCTTTATTAATTATTACGGAATAATCATTTTTTGAATCCATTTGCAAAAACGCTAAACATCCCGTAAACGAAGCGCGCAAGATACGTTTCGGGAAGGAAAAACCTCGCGGTTATTTCAATCGGTTCCAATCGGTTATTACTTTACTTTTTTGTTTATTGGACGTTCGATCGGAAAACAAGACTATTTCTACAGAGAAGCGTTTATCGAGAATCGATATTTCCCCGAACGGGCCGGAATCCTTTCGTTAAAAACGGACGTTTATTGCGAGTAGAATTTCCATCTCCGTTCAAAAACCGACAACAAAGGAATCGTGAATACACATGCGGTCTTACAGTATTTGCAATAAAAACTTTCCGCGTCTCAATATTATCGGAGGATCGATAATAACGTTGGTTGTTGGAAAAATTTTTATTGTCCATTTGCGTAAGACGCATTGGGTTGTAATTCAAATGTTGTGCCTTGAGAAAGTAAAATACGAGATAAAAATTGCCGCGAAAGAGAATGTCGCTATTTTTTCCCTTTTTTCTTCTACGCGTACAAAAAAAGTATATATGCCCATGGAAAAACGTCCCAATAAACGTGGAAACTAAGTAAACCAACAACGAAAACGATTACGAGCTGATAAAGCTCGGCCTAAATTGTTACCGGCTGTTAGAAACAGTTCGCAATACACGTATTACTTTATTCGCCGTGCAATCCGCCGATCGAGATACCATTGTTCCCGGCTGGTGAATTTTTCTATAGGAAAATACGGGGTCACTCGGTCGAACAGGATCTCCCGCTCTAAAGATCGAGGCCCCGCGAGATAACGCGGTAATTTCCTATCCAAACGCCTCCCCACCACGCCGATCGATGTCCCGATTAACGCGTCGATTCTTGAAAGGAGGTGGACGGTCATTTTTCCTAGATCGCATTCGAAGATAGAGCGCATGCGTAAATAAGACACCTTCGCGCGTGCATCCTTCCTCGTGGATACAATAGCTTGGAGAGCTTCCACTTTGCAAAGTCGCTGCAAATATTAACTATTCTCATTTTATCCTTTTAACACGTTCGTAACGCCAGAGTGATTTCGTTGAGTTACCGTCGGAAGAATGTAAACGGAGCGATAAACGGAAGTTTATTTTTTGATATTTTTATTTTATATATTTTAATATGAAATATCAGTTCTTAGTTTTCATTAACTAATTCTGTAATTCTCTACTTCTGCTTCTTCATTCCCGTACTTCGTTCGTCGACAAAGTTAATTTTTAAGTATTTTGGTTTGAATAATATAAGCCTCTAATTGGCAACCTCAACTCAGTTCTATATTATCGGTGAAAATTCGTGATAATTCCTATGTCACCATATACGGTATAATTTTAGATTTAAAATTGTGTAAAAATGCAGAGTGATTCGCTAACAAATCATTCTTGTCCCTGTTATTCTTAAATTTCAAGTTCTGTGATTCCAAAGTATATTTTATATTTATATTTCACTGCTTATTCCATTAAATTTCTTTTAAAATTCCGCTCTAACTCTTTGCATATTTTATTATCATATATTTACATTATAATATATACCATATATGATGTGTTAAACGTTTAATAAATCGAAGGTTCAACGAGAGTTTTTCGAATATATATATATATATATATATATATATATATATATATATATATATATATAAGTAAGTAAAGTAAA